GAAATTTAGGAAGTCAGACAGGAACAAGAAAGAAGCCCTGCTTCACAACTTAACAGTATCAGCACACTTCTGTCATCCTCTGTGAAGGAAAGAATGGAATCAATTTCCCTCTGTATCTTTGAGAGGTACCAAATATAAAAACAACAACCGAAAAAAACAACATAAACACCATTTGTATTTGGATAACTTACCCTAGCCAAAGACCTCATGTTCTGGGGGGAAAAAAATTGCCAATGAACAACATTCATTAAGTACTATTTAATTCTTGTCTTATTTTTATAGGAAAAAATATATATAAGGATGCTGATCAAAGCTATTAATTGGCATGAGAGAACCAATACATAAATACATAATTCCTGCTAAAAAAGCAAGGACATTTGATGCTTTAATTAGCCTCTGCAGGTTTATTGAAGATAAAATGAAATCTCCTTTAGGTTTTACAAACACAGTTGATCCTCGACCAACGTGGGTTTAAACTGCACAGATCCACTCGTAACCTCTGCCACCTGTGAGACAAAAGATCAACCCCTCCTCTTCTTCCTCAGCCTACTCAACATGAAGATGACAAAGATGAAGATCTTTATGATGACCCACTAATGGACAGTAAATATATTTTTTCTCTTCCTTATGATTTTTATTTCTTTTCTCTAGTTTATTATAAAAATGCAGAATATGATACAACATATATGTTAGCTATGTTATCTTACAGTAAGGCTTCCAGTAGTTAAATTTGGGGAGAGTCCAAAGTCATACACGGATTTTAGACTGTGTGGGGGAAGGAAGGTGAGGGGGGTGAGATACCCCATACCCCCAAGTTGTTCAAAAGTCAACTATACTGAAAATAGCTGGTAGATCCTATTTCCGCATTTGCCAAAATCCCTAAAGACAGAGAATCCTGGCCTGGGAAGCAGAAAATCAAGGGCTTGTTTCCCTGGGGCACGCCCTGGCACAATGTGTAACTTCAGAGACTGGCTGGGCCACCCAGTCCCAGGGGCCCACAATTACAGACGCTGCCTACAAACACCCCAACGATACTCCATCCAACTGCAGGCCCGAGGTTCCAGGGCACCTGGAGAAAGGCTTCAACTATGACTGCAGCTGGACGAGCGCTTGTACTTGGCACAGAAAATACCCATCCGTCCCCAACTGTAAATACCACACTGGTATTCCCCTGGACCAGGCCAGAAAACAAAGCAAAGAACTCCAGACCAGAGGCCAGAAGGGCCCAACCATGGCTGTGGCCAGCACTGCGGCCCCATGCTGACGTCTGCAGCTGCCTCTCCTCCACTTGGACACGCTCTGCACTGGGCTGGGAACTGCTGCCAAAATTCTGTCAGGCCTGCAAGCTGGAGAGGCTTGGGGTGTGGCCACTGCACAGACCACCCTTCTTGTAAGCAGGCCTTTCCAAATGCCCAGGTCAGCTGAGGGATGGCAGGGTATGGAGAGCTAAAGCAAATAGGGCTCCTGTTTTGTGGACCTGAATGCAGGGACAAAAGGTTCACCCACCCACCCCCAGGCCACCCAGGTATACAAAAGAACAGGCTCCAAAATGCAAATAAATGGGTTGGTGGCAGATGCCTACACTGTGAACCAGCCACCCTCAGAGAGGACAGAAAGGGGTGTGTTCCATGGCATAAATATGTGCATATTTTTATGTGGCCTGGCATTCCAGGAGTTCTTAATGAGACCCATTTGTTTACAGATACCATCACCCACCATAATCATCAAATCGTTGAGCCTGGACAGACAGCATAGCCATAAAGCATTGACGTATTCTTTACACTGAGCCAACTGTATGACAACAGGATGGCTGCCACCTCCTACTAGCAACTCTCATTCCTCTCCCCCAACCAGGGGATGTCATGTCTAGCCCAGGTCTAGGATAGAACTGAGCATAACCATCTAGGCTAACCCACCAACAACCTAGAAATATTCACCTTGATTCCCCACCCCCAGCTTCTTGACGGAGGTCAGCACAAACATGTGACTTTTGATAGACAAACTTTTGGTGGGGACTTTGGACACTCTCCTTCTCCTTCCTCTCTAACCAGAGTTCTAGGTGGAAATACTTTTTTTTTTTTTTTTTTGAGACAGAGTCTTGCTCTGTTGCCCAGGCTAGAGTGCCGTGGCGTTAGCCTAGCTCACAGCAACCTCACACTCTTGGGCTCAAGCAATCCTCCTGCCTCAGCCTCCCGAGTAGCTGGGACTACAGGCATGGGCCACCAAGCCCGGCCAATTTTTTCTATATATTTTTAGTTGTCCAATTAATTTTTCTTTCTATTTTTAGTAGAGAGACGGGGTCTCGCTCTTGCTTAGGCTGGTCTCAAACTCCTGAGCCCAAATGATCCACCCGCCTCGGCCTCCCAGAGTGCTAGGATTACAGGCGTGAGCCATCGCGCCTGGCCGGAAACACATTTTTAGATGAAGTATTTCATCTACTAGGGCTGTTGTGGGCTGAATTGTGTCCCCCACCCCCAAATTCAGATTTTGAAGCCCTAATCCTCAATACCTCAGAATGTGACTATAATTGGAGTGAGGGCCTTGAAAGAGGTGATTAACGTGAGGCTGCTGGGGTAGGGCCTAATCCAATTTGAGTGGTGTCTATCAGAGGAGATTAAGTCACACACAGAGACACCAGGGGCGCCTGTGAATAGGAAAGACCAGGCGAGAATACAGTGAGTGAGAAGGCCAACTGCAAGCCAAGAGAGGCCTCAGAAAAAATCAAATCTGCCAACACCTTGATCTTGGACTTCCAGCCTCCAGAACTGTGAGAAAATAAATTTCGGTTGGTTTATGCCACCCAGGCTATGGAACTTTTCTTAAGGCATCCTGAGCTAACCCAAGGTCCTTTTTTGGGCTACTAAGAGCCTCTGGACAATTAAGAGAGACTAGAGCAGGCCAGAGTCCAGAAATGCATTGTCCAATACAGTGGCCACAAGCCGCATATGGCTTCTTAAATTTAGATTTATTAAAATTAAGTAAAATTTAAAAATTCAAGTGGAGCGTGGCGCACACCTATAGTCCCAGCTACTCAGGAGGCTGAGGCGAAAGGATCACTTGAGCCCAGGAGTTTGAGGCTGCAGTGACCTATGATCTTGCCACTGCACTCTAGCCTGGATGACAGAGCGATATCCCATCTCTGAAAATAAAAAACAAAATTTCAGTTCCTCAGTTGCACTAGATTAGAACATTTCCAGGTCCAGAAAGGAGAAGGCTATAAATTTGAGAAAACATTCTAGGAGAACTTTTCCAACCCAGCTCTCCCAAGGAGGAAGACAGGCAGTGAGGAGAGCAAACGGAGTGAACATACACCTGTTGCTGAATGCCCAAAGAAAAAAAAAATAGGACTCTTAGCTTTTTATTGGTCATTACTAGCATGTGGAGGTAATTAATAAAACCTTCTTCTGATTAATTCTGAACCTAAAAGGCGAGATTTTTTGAATTGCTGTAAGACAAAATTGCGTACTCAAGCAAGCAGCAAGCATTTACTGAGTATTTACAACTCATGAGGACACTTTGATAGGCAGAGAAGAAACACCAGAGCACGTTTTTGCCTTAAGGAGTAAAATGCCTAAAACTAAACATTGGAGAAAACAGGTAGTGAAGGCCTCGGGGGTTCAGAAGGCGGCACTGCCAAAGGCTGGGACAGGTGGCTTTACCTGCCTACACTTGGGGAAAGACCCTCAATTCCTCTCCCTCTACTCTGAAGCCCCTACTCCCTCCTGCTCATCTAGCTCCCTCCCCTGCAGCTCCCACTGCCTGCCCCAAAAAGTCCCAACTCCTTAGCTCCTCATCCCAAACGCTTCGCACCTGATACGCCTCCCATAACCGCCAATTCCAGTTCCCACTGTTCCATGCCTGAACCCGAGCGCCAACCAAAACACCACATTTGAGTTGTTTTTCATGTTCCTGGACCCCACCCCTGGTCAGCATGGCCCCTGCGGCAAGCAGCAAAGCCTTGCCTTCTATTAATAATTTGCAGCTTTTAATCTGCTGAACACCTAGAGACCGGAAAACTAAAAACAGCCCTATTTTCCTAAACACTATTTCATCCTTCAGGACCTGACCAACCTTCATCTACTCATCTCCCTGGCCCGCCCCTCCTCTGAATTTGTATGTTGTCTGTTCCCCCAGCACACAGGAAAGACATCTCTATTACTGCCCTGATGACTTTCGCATCAGAGCTGTTCTCTAAAGCTGAGTTCCTCGAAAGCAGGCCCACTTCCTTTCCCATTGCACAGCACGGCAAGCATTCTTTCGAGGTTTCCAGAGTTTAATTTGTAATGTAAAACATAGCTAATGAGCTAAAGCTCAGGCACTGTGCTAGGTACAAAATTCCCTTCTGTTATCTAAGGAGAGCTCTACCCTGAGTAGTCTGTTAGCTTCCCAATACACAGACACTGTGTGACATTTATTTTGACTGCCTGGAAGCCAACTAACTTCTGGTTCTCAGCTGCACTGTGAAAATATGAGGTTGCCAGAGAGCTGAGATACAGACAGCAATAGTATTAAATACAGTTATGTTAAAACCAAGTGAAGAGCAGGGACTTGCAATCTATTAAGTACCAGTACTCAATATTTCACATCACACTAGGCAGTCCTCAATTTCTCCTTGTATCGAGTTGAACTAGTTAATGAGTTGAACTAGTTAATGATTACCTGGCTTTGATTAAGTTCCCTTTTCATTAAGAGCAACTGTGAAGTACCATAAATGATGTTTAGGAAAACCAGACACACCACTGACTCTTGGAACTGGATCATTCATCCCTGGATAACAAACAGGAAGCCTCAGGAATGCCTGCCTACAGTCAACCTTACCCGGTAAGATCTGGTTACAGACCTGCAGTATCACACTCAGATGTGTTTCCCTGGGCCTTGGCTTTCTCTGACCTGCCTGATATGCAAAGGGCCTCAGCTATTTAAAGCATTACATTAAAAAATCATGTTTTTACACTGACCCAAACCCTGGTAGGCTCCAAGAACAACAAAGCAGGACTTACTGCCATTGTCGTCAGAATCCTCACTGCTGCTGGGAAGGCGACCTCGTTTCATGATCTCCCCGGGAAACAGCAGGCAGCCTGCAAAGCAATGAGACAGCACTTAACCCAAGATGATAATACACAATCATCAAGTTATGCTTCAGATGGCAGCCCAGGATTTACAGCAAACAAAAGGCTTTAAGTAGTATTTGAATTGTAAACAGTAAAAAGACCAAAGATAATTAGGTGCAATCATTAACAGACCAGGTTAAAAAAGGAGGGGGAGGGGTGCAGAAGTCACGTATCAGTTGGGCTCCCAAAGGTGCCAGGTTTCTTTCTATCTCCCTATGACATTATTACTACAACTACTCTAGGAGTCTCACTGACTGGTGAGACAAGCACTGCAGAAAAATATCCACAGCAATGAACACGGTACTGTGCTTCCTCACTACAGACAGATTCATATTTTATGCTTGTATGTGGGGGGTGGGGTGGGGTTATGCCTGAATGTGTGAGTATTTATACTGCATTGGGCATGATTATGCTTCTCAGGTAAAATTTGCTAAAATAATCCTAAAAGCCAGATAACCTAGTCTAGAAAAAAAACAAATGGGGTAATGGGAATGCAAATGTTTCCTCTAGCCATCTCCAACCCCTCAGCAATTCACAGCTGGAACAGGAAGGGACCATAGACATCATATAATTCCGCTTCAGACCCCTCCCTTTTACATTAGAAAAGGCAGAAAAAGGTTAAGCAGTGACTTCCCCAAGGTCATACTGGGAGCATGGAGCTTCTAATTCTAAATCCAATACTGTTTCCACTCCACCTCACCCTGACTCCTTTCAGGACGGATATAACCAAATCCAGCCAAAATAAGAAATCAGTTTGTCTTATACAAATAACAAGCCCACCTGGCCAACTCATCCCAGGGAGCTGATGGTAACAGAACTCTGGCACTATCCTTAAGAGAAAGACTACATTTAGGAAAGAGGGCAGTGGACCAACACGGAATGGCTAGTCACTGGGCTTACAATGATGATCTCATGGTTATATTCACACAGGGCAGCTCTCTGAACAAAACCAAAAAGCTTTTCAAACTAAAACTATTGATCACCCTGATATCTTTAAGGCCCTGATCTTACTCCAGGGCCAATGATTCCCAAAGAGGAAGGACAGCTTTTTCAAGTCAGAAAAAGTATGGTGGCCTGATACCTATCCATCCACCCCCCACCCCCCCCGAGAAAAGTACATCCCAACCTCCTCCTCATTGGGAATCCCAACAGGTAAAATGCAATGTGGTGTTTCCAATGAAAGTGTGGCACACAGGAATAGTTTTCAATGAAAGTGTGTCACACAATAATCACAACATGTATAATGTGATGTGTTTCCAATGAAAGTGTGGCACACAGGAACACTGGAGAAAAATGTGGAGAACCACTGTACTAGAACAAGAAAGTAACTGAAAAACCAAAGTTCCACTCTAAATGAACCTGTAAAAGAGCAGTCAAAAAAGTAGAAAATGCAGCTTACTAAAGGTGACCAAAATATGCCACCTTGGTATAAAGGTATTTTGAGCTAACGGCAATCGAGAAAGAGCACACACAGGACGACCTCTCTACCTTGCCCCATCTGACTAAAAGCAGAGCATAGATTTCCCTTTTGCAAAGGAAATTTCATTTGTAAAGGTGTCTATCAGTTAAACTCTCATGCATATATAACCTCATCGATCATTAGTTCCCCCCTACATTTCCTCATCATCATCTTTCTGCAATTTAACCTCCTAGAAGCCCAAAACCCCTTTTCCTTTGGTCACTTAACAACTTATTACCCTTTGTTAAAATGGTATATGAGCCCCAGGTCTAACCCTTTTGGGGTTTTTCACTTCTTTTCTGTGAAGTCCCCTCCACCCGCACATAAAAACATTGATAAAGTTTTTACGCCTTTTCTCCTGTAATGTGTCTTTTGCCATCGTAATTCGCAGCTGCCCCCCCTCCGCCCCCCACGAAGTGAACCTGAGAAAGTAGTTTTTCCCATAGTACAATGCAGTCCGTTTCCACTTATGAAATGGACTTATATCATTCACTCAAGTACTCAGGCCCCTCATCTATAATTGCAATATTTCATATTTTCTTCCTGAGAAATTAACCCAGTTAAAGTTTATAGGTGTTTGTTTAACAAGTGATTCTTCAAAAACCACTAAAAGAATTTACCAAGACAAAGCTTGGACGTGAGTCCTGATCTGGGTCATGAACTTAAGGACACTTTGTGGGCTGGGGTTTCATACTGGGGGCAGGTTCACAATCCTAAAACCCAACGCACCCACTTTCTGCAGAGCCCCACTCACCCGTAACTCTAACACCCAGCAATCTATAACTCAGACTAGAGCAAGCCCACTCCAGCCAAAAGTCTCCATGGCCAACAAATACCTGTGGCCCACTCCCTACCTGAAATGACTGTCTTCCTTGCCCTGTGCAGGCATGCCCCACACACCAACTGCTGACGGCTGAACTCTCTTCCAACCTTCTAAAGAGGGTGTGCTCCTGCTCCCCTTGGGATCCAACAAGAGGTCAAGAGAAAAGGAAAAGGCAAAAGACCGCCCACTCCCAACAACAGTTTCAGCTCCCCAAAGCCTGTATCACAAAAGAGCTTTAAAAAAAACAAAAACAGAAAGTACCATCTGAAGAGGAATTCCTTAAAAGTGACAGTGAGATGGAACACAACGACAAGAATGCAGTTTGCCACCTAGTAACCAGATGTGAGAACACTGAGAAATAAGAGGCTGAGAAAGCCCATAAAAATACTTCCCAGTTAGAAACAAGAAAACAAGAAAACTGTATCTACATTGATTCAGACAACTTAAATTTACCTGTACAGAGTAGCTCAAAGAATTTAGAATCTTTTTGAACCAAAGTGCCTTCCTCCCAGCTTTTAAACACAACTCCCTGAGAAAGCACTTCAACAGTCACTAAGTGAAAAATGCAAGCACTGGCCAAAACAGAATGATGCTCCTAAACACACATAAATACTCTCTGAAGCAAAACCATACAAGTAAAAGAGTAAAAATAGCATTTTCTTTATAATGAATTCCATTTTCATCCACCCCAAAGACCTTGAGTAACGAAGGTTGAGAATGCTGTACTTTGCTTCTCCAGGGAACCTGGCACAGTAATGGCGGTTAGTGCTCACAGAGTTTCCTCCTCTGTGGCTCTAATGTACTTAAACCTTGACATCAGGCAGATTTATCTCACCCCGGGTTACTTACTGTATCAGAAAATCAAAGTACATGTTACTATCTTCAAGACACACAATACAGCAGCTGTATGCTGCAAACATATGCCCCACTAAAAGCCAGCACGGGAAAGCGGAGGGCAGGGCCATGAACACCATTACCTGTCCTGACTCTTTTAGGGCAATGGCTGATTATATCTAGATGGTAAGAGGATAAGTAATAATCAATTAAAAGGCTACTCACAACACTCCAGAGAAAGCAGCAAGACGACATAATAGCATGTGATGCATCCCACAAACATCTGCATACCTAATACATTAGGAGGTGCTGGAGGAAAATTACTGTCCCTGACCTCATGGAGCTTCTGGCCTAGCTGAGGAGACAGGTAAGCAACAGGAATCCAGCATTGTTCGTGCTTGACAGCGGTAAACACACAGTTCTACAGGAACACAGGAGGTTGACAGAGTCAGGGGAGGATTTTGAGCTGAGTGCTGAAGGACAAAGGGGAGGTAGCCAGAAAAGGGAGCACATTTGGGGCAAAACACTGTAAAATTTAACAATATACATACACATAACCTAGCATATTGCTCTAGGCAGCATCTTCATACTCAACATCTTACTATTTGCCCATTTCTTTACTATATACATCCCTTCTTACCTTATATCCAATTGCCAAGGTTTATGGATTCATAACATATGACCCTTTGAAATACCCCTACGACCCCAAAGTTTGGTCTTCAACCACCCAACCCAGATAGCTTTAAGCACCCTTCCATTCTCCAAGCCTACAGTTTCTTCCCATTTCCAATTATTATAACAAATTAATCACCCTTATGATTAATCAAGCTCATCAAGCTACTCTCTATGCAAATTTCCACTCCACACTGCAAATAGGTCAAAGTTCAACCTGTGCAGCCAGAAACCCAGGCGTTTTCTTGTTCTTCCCAGCTTTACCCAAGCATCTGTCCCAGCAAGCCCCAAAGCCTAACTTGCCTCTGCCGGGCCAGGCCTCCTCCCCCGAAAACTTCCATTTCCCTCAGTGCTCAGTCTCTGCTAATGCAGTTGCTGTTGCCCCCTCCTCCCTACCTATTCCAATCTCTCTTTTCTGGAGCTCCGCCTGAAACCACTGAACATCACCCACCATTCCAACTCCAAGCACTTAACATTCTGTACCACTCAGTTCAACTTTTTTCCTTTTAGAACTTTTTCGCCATGCTTTTCAATGTATTATTTACTTTAGCAGTGTTAGTCAAAAAAATTATTCATGACACATGCTAAAGATGGTAAGGCAGATTTTATTCAAGAGGGACCATGGTGATAGGTACAGGGACCATGCAATGGGGTCTTGCAGCAGGACAGAAAGGAGACTCAACTTGGACTCCAATAAGGACAAGTAGAGAAATAGAACCAAAGCAGGGCAGCATCAGTGGATGGAAAATTACTAAACAGAAATGTCCAGAATAAGGGGTTTCTGGCTAAACTGACTGGACAAGATTATTGCTGAATGCAGGCCAAGATGGAAAGATAGGAGGGTGGTCAAATACCAAAGGTGGGGAATTTTCCCTAAACTGACTTAACAGGATTATTGCTCAAACTGGATTCAACAAGGACAGAGAGGGAAGCCCAAGGTAGGGCCTAGTCAAGTAGAGGACTCAGAGGAGACTGACTAAAGTTTTGGTCAAAGGAGAGTCTTTGTCAGTATTCAAGCAACTGCCTTGCGTCATGACTTAAACGTTTCCATATATGTGTGTCTCTAAAGATTATAATAATTTCTGGAGAACAGAGATTCTCTCGAGTTAAATATGAAATGAAGATATAACAGAGAAGGGCCAGCTGCTGGTTGGAAACAAGGCCTCCCAGGGCTACAAC